AATAGTATTTCAAGCCAAAAATGAAGAATTTAATGGAAGATTAACACACATAAAATGAAATCCTAAAGGTTATGTTTAAGAACGTTGGAAAGTAATCTCAGATGAAACACTTGCAATTACAGAAGGAATGAGGACCCAAGAGGGGAACGCATACGCATCTGGCTCGTTACTTGCCTTAAACAAGAATAACATTTCCTTGTGGAGTTAGACTGATAGAGTTAACATGCATAATCTCAACACATATATGGAGATAGAACATGCTAGCTCATCTTCTAAGTCCCTTATATTGCCTGGGAAGACAGAAAAGTATTTATAATTCTGTCATCTACTGTTGTGTTTGTAAATTTTAGCTTAAACAATAACAAACAATATGCTTTTTAAACTAGAATTTTAAAAAAATCTGGATTCTGAGTAATAGTTGTTTTTTTAAAGGATCAGAAAAAGAACAAGGGAGACAAAGCCATAAAATAAGAGGATATATTAATCCCAAATATATCAAATATTACATGAACCATGAAATAAATTAGTAGTCTTTTTAAAATTTTTTTTAAAACTTTATTTATTTAAGTGATCTCTACACCCAATGTGGGGCTTGAACTCAGGACCCCAGGATCAATATTTGCATGCTCTTCCAACCGAGCCGGCCGGGTGCCCCATTAGTCAGTACTTTTAGATGGTTCAAACCTCCCTTCACAAGCTACTTAATTTTCATCCATAAATCTCAAGTGCAAGTTTTGAGTTTCCATTAAAGCAAAACTAACATTCTGTGGCATCATCAGCCACCCCATCTCCACCAAGAAAAGAAACCAGGGGGCGAACAATGTCCTGGATTTGGTTGGTGGGGAATCAAGACCTCATGCCGAGGTTCACCAGAATCTATGAACAAGTTTCTTAAGGCCTAAAATCAGCTGAGATGTTCTCGGGACCTGAAGTATATTTTTACCAGCAAATCCCATCAGCACATCTCCCGATGAGAAAAGAATAGGGTGGCACAAAGGGGTAACACTTCAGTGAAAACAATTTTAACAACCGTGAACATTTAAGAACACCCGCAAAGCTGACACCAGGTACTTCACAACACTATCCTTTAATCTGAACAACCACCTGGTGAAGTGCATCAGTCAACACTCTTGTTTCACAGATACCGAGGCTGAGGCTTATTAGATCACCATTTACAGAGGAGGAAACTGAGAACCCCCCAAATTCCTGAATGGCCCTGAGTCCTGGCCACTGGTAAGAAGCACAGCTGAGAATGGTGCCCATGGAGAGGCAGGCGTCATCACTGCCCTGCACGGCTTCCTGTGCAAATCTACGTACCCAGGGCCCCTCTCCATCAGAGAAAAAAGGTCATGGTAAATTCACCGCCCATGTGACCATCACGGGGACAAGGAGTCCTGCCAGTTTTCTGTCTGAGAAAGGGAGTCTTCAGCTTCACCTGCTCACTCAACACACTAGGTGCTGACTGAAGACGAGAACACGAGGACAGGCCCCACGTCACATTCCATGGATGCACAGGGCTTCCTCTTGAGGATCGAGGAGGGAAAGTCATTCCTCGGGGCTCATTCATCATCCCAATTATGCACATGTCCTGTGCACTCTGCCTCCTAACACATCCTAAGTCATCCTCTCCCCACCAATTCCAATGCCACCATCCTGGGTCAGGCAACACCAACGAACTCCTGGGTTACATGGTGGCCTCGTCTCTCCCCCACATCAATTCTCCCTTCTTCAATTCGCTCTCTACACAGCAGCCAAGGGGGAACTCAGAAGCAAGAACATGCCACTGCCGTGGTGAATCCCTTCCTCAGCCTGCCAACACCGCATCCGCCCCTGTTCTTCCATCTCACTGTCCACCACTCATTTCCTCCAGACACACTGGCCTTCAGCTGCTTCCACTAACAAGGCCAACTCTCCCCTGCCTCAGGGTCTTGGCACATGCTGTTCCCTTTACCAGAACATTCTTCCTCATCTTTGAACATGGCTGGGGCTCCTCCATTCCTCATGGGTATGTGTGATCTCACCTTTGTATACCGTCTGCTCCTCTGCCCATGCTTCACAGTGTAACATGGATCTCCCCACTTTTGTAACAAGAGGCGTGTGGGGAGATGACATAACCAAGGTCACCCAGATGGCGATGGGCACAGCTCGGAAGTGCTCGAATTCCAGTATCCCGAGGGTCCAAAACCTTCACCACTGGACCACTCTTCCCAAAGGACATCTGCCCTCCTTGCCAAAGTTTTGACCTTGATCTTCATTGCCACATGGGGACCACAGGCACATTGCTGCCACAGCATCAGAGTGGCCAAACTACACCTCTACACCTCTGTGTTATCACGCGTGTCTCCCTTCTAGACAGCAAGGCCTACGTCTCAGTCACCCATGTATCTCCACGACACCAGGCACCGTGCAGGATAACGGGTGTGAAGGATAGGGTTCTCGTGACTCCTGCCCATTCCACAGCAGGCCCCTGTGAACACATAAAGTTCCAGGGGGAGATGTGGACAATGAGGGGAGAGGGCCCTCTGTCCACTGCAAAGCACATCACTTGTGCTTTTGGACAAACAGGCCCAGGCCTCTTTGCAGGCCACGTGACAGCAAAGCACTCTCAGGTGTGGGAAGAAGGTCCCTCTCCTAAGAACCAAGTCGTGTTTGGAAGCCTGGCCTCCGGTCTCTGAAGTGCCAGGGCTCAGCCACAGGTAAAGGTAATACCGTAGCCCCAGCAGGAGCCGTGCACACGAAGGAGGACACGTACGCAGGGAAGCCTCGGGTACAAACTCTCAGATGCCAAGCCAAGTAACGCTCTCCCGGTCAAACAATCCGCCACAGTCGTCACTTTAAAAAGGTCTCTTTCGGAACTCAGTGTGAGTTCTCTGATGTTGACTGAGGCCCGTCTTCCGGTAAAAGGCCTTCCCACATCTCTTACACTTATAGGATTTTACTCCACTGTGGATCTTTTGATGAGTAGCGAGGGTCGAGCGGTAGCCGTAGGTCTTTCCGCACTCGCTGCACTCATAGAGCTTCTCCTGAGAATGACACCTCATGTGTCGAGTTACAGAAAAGCTGTTACAAAAGGCCTTCCCACACTCTTTGCACTCAAAGGGCTTTTCTCCAGTGTGGGTTCTGTTATGCCGAATAAAATCAGAGTGGCGGGCAAAGGCCTTTCCGCATTCGCTGCACATATACGGCTTCTCTCCGCTGTGAATCCGCCGGTGCTCTGTGAGGTGTGACCTGCGGCTGAAGGTCTTCCTGCACTCGATGCACACAAAGGGCTTCTCCCCAGTGTGAACCCGCTGGTGCTCTGTGAGGTGTGACCTGCGGCTGAAGGTCTTCTCACACCTGATGCACTCATAGAGCTTCTTCTCCATGTGAACGCTGTAGTGTCCAGTGAGCTCTGCCTTCCTGAGAAAGGCCTTCCCGCACTTTTTGCATGTATAGTGTTTTACTTTAGTGTGAATCCACTGATGCTGGAGAAGGAAGCGATTCTTCTTAAACCCTTTTCCGCATTCCTTGCACTTGTACAAGTTCTTCCCTCCATGAATCGAGGGGTCTTTCCTTGATCCACGTGATTCGTACTCATGGAGAGCATCTCCTGCAGAGACTTGCTCCTGTAAGTCGTTTGTACACAGATTTTCACCTGTTCCCCAATGACCACGCTCGGGGTTCATCTCTCCAGGGAGAGTCTCCTTGAACGGGACTATCCCTGTCTTCACGGGCCCTCCCTGTTTTTTGGATGGTTCTTCTTGTTCCCTGGCCTCTCCCAGCATGGAAACACCAGAGTCTTCCTGAGTCGGTAACCTGTGGGATAAGCATCCCTCAAACACGGCGGACTGAGAAGCAGAAGGCTCCGTGGTCCTGGTTTTTGCTTCATCACCTGAAGAGAGTCCAATACACAAAAGAGGCCCATTAGCAATGCCAACATAAAGAAACACGATCGCCAAGCCAGCGGGAAAACAGTGCCACTGATAACTGTTCACATCTCTGAAGCTCAGGTTTGTTGTTGTTGTTGTGTGGTTTGTTTTTGTTTTTTGCTGGTCCCTGGATTCTTGACACCCTTAGAGGGACAACCTTGAGGAGAACTGGGGGCAGGGTCCAGAGTGGAATCCCTTTCTCTCTGTCCAGAGGGGAGAGAAACGAAGACACCACAGGCTGTGTTTGTTCTAAGAAAGGACGTCACGCGTGGTTACTAGGAACACAGGGAAGGAAGGGGACATCTAACACAGTCCAAATGAGAGAGAGAGGATTTGGGAGGTGTCTTGAGATCTGAGTCGTGAAGAAGCAGGAGCCAGCACATACAGAAAGTAAGAGGGCACTGCGCCCAAAAGGAGGCAGAGTGCACAAGGTGCCAAGTCGAGAGAGAGTCCTGATGCCTAGGGAGCTGCAGGACACGAGGATGGCAGAGATGCGGACGGTGCCACAAACAGGGTGCCGATTCCAGAGTCTGGAGGGCTGAGAGTAAGGGCAGCCATCGCCACTCCCCGGACAGTGCCCACAGGGCTCAAGGTGAGGAACACATTAAATCTTCTGTGTGTGAGGAACAGTGCGGGGACTAAACAATGGAAGAAAGCTAGTAGAGAAATCTGAAACATTTCAAGATATTAAAGAGATCTATACACATGGAGAAATTAATAACAAAGTTGTAAATTCTCCTCAAATCTATCTTTAAGTTCATTACAATTCCAGATAACATGATTTGCCATAAAACTCAACAAGGTGATTCTAGAATTTCCTAGGAAGAGTTAAGGGCCAAGAATATCACTGAAACAAAAATAAGGCGATGGGGCTTGCCCTCCCAGTCCTGGGGTTATGATGAAATTACAGGCCTAAGAAAAACTGGCAACAGGAAGTAATAGCCTCATGAACAGACACAGCGTTCACACACCGCAGAGATGACACAGCAGGTCACTGGTAACAGTGACAGACAAGAAGGGGGGCTAGAAAACTGGTTTCCCACATGCAGAAAAAAGTTATTCCATTTCTACCGCACATCACACACATCATTAATTCCAGATTAGCAAGCAAAAGAAAACAAGTATGTTTTTGACCTTGGTGTAGGGATATTTCCTAGCGAGACATGAAAAGCAGTAATCATAAAAAAAAAAAAAAAAAAAAAA